ACGGCGTCACAGTCTGGTGGATATCACTGGATAAATCGCTCACAAGCACTAAGCTTACCAAGGTTCAAAGGCCGGCATGCATGCTCATCACAGGTTCACTGCCATCCACACCCACCAAAGCTATGGAAACACTTCTAAACTTTCTGCCCGTAGACCTTTTTGGGAAGCTACAGGCGAGCTACAATGCAGTAAGAATAAATGCACTGTCAAAATGGAAAGACACTAGATTCGGTCATACCAACATCCTGACCACCTACCCCGACACATTCAGGTCCTCAGATTATAAAACACCATCGAGAATAAGTTCTCCACACGTATCCCTTCGAGGAAGGACTGGGAGGATGACTCGGTCTGGCGCCTCTAAAGTAACTCAACAGCCATATACACGGATGGCTCTAAACTAAATCTAAGAGTAGGGAGTGGGATACACTCAAAGAACCTCTCACTATATCTCTGCTTTAGGCTACCAGATCACTGCAGTGTCTTCCAAGCGGAACTCGCGGCCATAAAGGAGGCTGCACTCTGGCTCATCGATTGTTCTCTTAATCTACCTTCAGTAACCATATACTCATATACTGCAAGACATCATCTACAACTGCTTTAGAATGTAGGAAATTCGTTAACGATCTAGCTTCAAAATTACTACTCACATCGTGTGGGTGCCGGGACACAGGGTCTTTCAGGGTAACTGTGCGGCGGACAAGCTTGCGCGGAAGGGAAGCACCCTGTCGGACATCAACTCCTCTCATGCAGCGGGCATACCCCTATCTACCTGTAAGACACGGCTCTGGACATACTACGTGGAGAGGGCAAACAAAAGATGGTCGGAAGAACCCACATGTGAGACGACTCGACAAATCTGGCCCAACTACGACAGGAAAAGATCCGACGCACTCATTCGCCTAGAACGGCCTATACTAAGGCTGGTGACCGGTATAATTACGGGCCACTGCATAATGGGGAGGCATGCTAGCAGAATGGGTTTGCCGGCTAATGATTTCTACCGTGGTTGCCGCGACGAGGACGAAATCGAGAGTGTGGAACACTATCTCTGTCATTGCCCCGCCCTCATGTGGGCGAGAAGGCGCTCATTTCACCACCACCGCGCTTTTTAAACCTAACCAACTGGTTCCACTTCTAGGCGAACGGACGGGTTCGAATTGG